TGTGTGTGTGTGTGTGGTGGGTGGGACTTAGAGAAGCTGTGACAGATGAAGTGATTGTAACTGTTCAGTAGTGAATCAGTGTGGCAAGATGAAGATCTTGCTAAGTAGCCTGCTTTTCGCCTCTCTCTGTACGCTCTCATCCTGGAGTAAGTAGAAACACAACTTAACAAATTATTTAGTTTTTATACCATTCCTCTCTAAATGGAAAAGTTAAGTTTTCCTAAATTTGTTTGTGATAAATATTCAAGCGATAAATGAATGTCTGATATTATTTCTTCTCAATATGTCAGTGTTTAAAGTTCTTAGTTCTAAGAAGTGAGACTAACTTAGATCTAGAATGATTTATAAAGATACGAGGCTTTTTAAATAACAGATGTAAAAGACAACAAAATTATTGTCATGACATCTTTATTCCTGATGTGCATTTACTACCTAATATTGTTTTTTTTTTTCTATGATAAAAATCACTATGATGTTTTTAGAAGCATGTCTGTGTCTGTGTAGGCTCTCAGCCATCCAGGTCATGGTAATCCAGGGGTGTCGGACTCCAGGCCTCGAGGGCCGGTGTCCTGCAGGTTTTAGATCTCACCCTCGGTCAACACACCTGAATAAAATGATTAGCTCATTACCAGGCCTCTGCAGAACTTCAAGACATGTTGAGGAGGTCATTTAGCCATTTAAATCAGCTGTGTTGGATCAAGGACACTCCTAAAACCTGCAGGACACCGGCCCTCGAGGCCTGGAGTTTGACACATGTGTGGTAATCTAAGGATATGGAAGGAAAAGTGACTGAACTACTTAAAGTTTCTTGAAGACATCAGAAGCTTCTCTGATGTGAGCTGAAACATCTTTAGGAAACCTAAAAAAGTTCAGTTGCTTTTCTTTTCATGCTACTTAAAAACATATCTGCATACTGTATTTGTACCAAACCTTGATGCTTTTAGCTTTAGAAATCATGCATTATGTGTGGCCTTGTAATGACTTATGTTCCACTTTGTGTCTTACAGGTGTTTCATCAGGCACATTTGTTGTGACGCAGAGCGATCATGTTTTTGTCAGGGAAGGAGAGACAGTAAACATCACCTGCTGCTGGACAGGGAAGTTTGAAAGATTTAGAGTGTACTGGCTTAAAAATCAAACAGAAATTAGGAGTGACTACTTTAATCAGCCTAATGCGTCTCTGAAAAAGGAAGAGAAGAAATGTTCTTTTTTGAATATCTCAAATGTTAGACCAGAGGATTCAGGGACGTACACCTGCAAGGTGACTGTGGAGATACCATCTTTAACTGAGGCTAAAGGAAATGGGACAGTCATCACAGTCAACGATACTGGGAACAACTGGCAAGGTGCACAAGGTTCAATATGGTGACATGTTCAAATCCCTTTTTACGAGTGTAGTTGATATTTAATCAATATCAACTGTAGACTGAAATCAACTGTACTGTCACTGTCATTTTAGGTGGCTTGGTAGTCTTAATAGACAATTAATACAGTTTTTATCCCTCTTTTTTAAAAATATTACACAACATTTTACCATGATAGTACCAGAAGGCATTGCATTTTTACATTAGATAGATGGATGTAATTATTATTATAATATTATTACAAATTTAACAGATTCTTTAGATCCTGGGAATCCAACCAAACCAACCAACGTGATCATTTCCCTGGCTGTAGTGGTTCCTTTGCTCCTCGTCACACTCGTCTGTTACTGCACTCTGCGAAGAAAACAAGGTACCAACTTTAAATTAATACTAAAGCATCAGAGACTGAACAAAAATATTTCTTTGTTACTTTGTTTTTGTCTATCCAAAAAGACACGTTGTATTTAACTCTTTTAACCAAAGAACATGACACAGGTATCACACACAGGAACACAGGTTCATTTTAAACAATAAACAAAATAATCACTTGACTATAAATGTGCAGTTGTTTTATGATGAGATAGTTCTCTGTGATATACCTCAACCACTGTACCTTGACATTATTACTGGACTATATTGGAGCCAATTCAATCAAGTTAGGAGCTAATATTTCCATATACGTAACAAAAAGTTGGAGCAGGAAATGCACGAGGATTTAAAAAAACCTGTGTGAGTTTCTGTACATGCTGTATGAACAGCATTAATTTAGTACCTTCTGCAGTCCGCATTTTTCATCACGCAAAACTATTCCTGAAAAAGAAAAGTTCCAAACAACCTGCATCAAAAGTCTTGAAATTAGGACTCGTAATGTGGAGGCTGACACTTTCCTCACTAATACATTTGCACAACTGTCAGTTTGCATGGCAGCAAAGTTTAAGTGTTGTGGTAAAACCGATGAAAGAAAAATAGTAACTGAGCCACAAGGTTTTTGTACTTGGATTAAACTAAAACCAGGTGTGAACAAACACATCTGTTAACTGAAACAAAATAAAACTAGACTAACTGAAACTATAGTGTACACTCACAAACTAGTAAGTAAAAAATAAATTAAATAAAAAATATATATGAAATGTTTTTAGCTCAACTCTTCGACCACCTGTGTTTACTGGGACTTGTTTAAGATAAAGCGCTTTGAGTTCTCAGATAGAGTAGAAAAGCGCTGCATAAGAAACAGTCCATTTACCTGTTGGCATCTTCATGGCTGTGACTCAAAGACCTGCAAAAAGTGCTGCTTCGTTTGTAATATCTGTCACTCCTGACACACATCCTACTCATTATATTAAATACAACAAAGCTGACCCTGACATGAGAACATCAAAATATTTTCAAATAAACTAACTAAAAGGAAGAAAAAGAACTTTTACATTAAGAGTAGATTCTTAGATTCAGTTCTTTGAGGGATCAGAAAGAGTAGAAAAATGCCTTTTATTTATTTATTTGGTATCAAGTCAACTAGTATACTAAATAACAAATGTAATGGATTTTAATGCTCCTGACTGATACGTTTTTCAAGGGTTTCATTAGAAGAAATATCTTGATACCTGGAAAATAGAATAGAACCGAATAGAATAGCACTTTAATGTCATTGTCCATGTACAACGAAATTATGGGCGTTCCACGGCAACTGTGCAGGAGTGTAGAAGACAGCAATAAATAGCAAACAGAATGATATAAACAGTGTAGATGAATATGTAATAGAAAAGCACACAATCAAACAGCTTGGAGGTAGTTCAAAATGAAAATGGCAATTTTCAGAAAGTTCTCCTACAGGATCCTCTGTATAAACAACAACATAGACTGTCTTACAGAGCACCAAGATCAATCATATATGTTAGTGGCGGAAAACAAATGTGAAGTATATTTGAATGTAGTTGTAAGAAACCAGTTGGAACACAATGAGATTTATCCAGGTGCTAGCTTCATCTCATCACCTTAGACAGTCAATATGAAGAAAGTAAACATCTACTTTTTTTTATATTTTAGAAAAATATTTTGACACTATCAGTTCAAATTGAATTGTCAGTTCTTGCAACCTTATATTTAAAGTATGTAACACAACGGTGAAGTTCCCATAGACTCTCTTTAAATACCAAACAGCAAACGATTGTTTGCAGCAAACAATTCTAAACACATCACAACTCCTGTGGCGCTCTTACAGGAAACATTAACACATTGTGCAGCACAATGTTAAACTATAATACTCTGTACAACCCACTGTAATGAAATTGGATTGGGTAGGAGTAATCTGTAATTTTGAACAATCTGTACACCTGATAGCAGCTTTCCACTGACTGAAAGATAAAAGAGCTGCTAACAGGAGGCCTGGTTGTGATAACAAGCAGAAAACTTTGGGTTTTTGGATCACATCACTTTTTTTTTCTTTTTGTAAGTAAAGACCCTACAACTTTATAATAACATGCATATTTACATATTTTATTATATTTATAACACTGAAAAGTCGTTCTACACTACAAGCTGCATTCATACATTCATTAAGACTTGATTCACTAGGAACAATTTGGAGTTCAACCTCAAAAGAGCAAATTTCCTCTTGATAGATGATCTACTCATGAAACAAGTCTACATTGAAAAACAACAACAACATAATAGTGTTTCAATTAGAAATATTTGGGGCTGAAATTGAATAGCGTTGTGTGCCAAGGATAATGTTTTAATACACTAGGGTTGTGAAAAAGGCTGCAAAATTGTGTTATCAAATAAAGAATGCAATAGTTCAAAATGGTTTCGTTTTTAAACTGACTGCTGGCATCAGATTAAAGAAGAAGCACATGTAGATATGGGCAAATCTAAAGTCTGATTTAATTAAAAAGAGGAAGCCAGTCACTGAAGAGCAGATGGTCAATGAGCTGAGACTGGCACACGATGATAGCTGAAACAGCTGGTTCAGATACTGCTAGAGGTGAGTAATTGATGCAGATATGGAAAAACAAAACACTGTGGTTGGTGCCGTCTCCTCACAGCAGGAAGGTTCTTGGTTTGA